CGTGTGCCGAGGATACGCGGCCGCGCGCTCGCGATGCACTTGCACCAACAGTCGCACATACACGCACGCTCGCTCGCGGAGCAACCCGGCCGATACACAGGCAAGCAGGCAGACAGACGGGCAGGGCAGGCAGGCAGGCAGGCAAGCAACACACGCACACGCACGCACGCATATGTATGCACTCACACAATCACACATACATATATACACGCGCGCGCGCGCGCACACACACACACACACACGCACGCGCGCACACTCGGAGACCGAACAGCGCGGTAAGCGCAACGATAAAAAGAAAAGACGGAGAAGGCGAGAGAACGACTAGGGCAAGGGGATGACGGAGGCGAGGGGAGACACCCGTTGTTTACGTTCTAACATCTGAGCCGAGGGAAGTGCACGACGGGTCACGGCGCGATCGCGGCACGGCACCGAGCCACCCACGCCAAAGGATAATACTGATATCTCCTTACTCTGCTCGTGACGTTCGAGACCTCCTTCATGATCGCCTCGAATGCGGCCGAGTCCTGCGCCTCCTTCTGGTTCAGCAGCGCGATCTTTTCACTGAATTTCCGTGGGTTCGCCATGATGGCTCGCGGCACTAGTTTTTCGCGGACACTCGCGGAACCCGGAGCACCCACCACCACCACCACCGCCGCCACCACCAACCACCACTATCGCCGCCGCTGAGCGACCGCCGACCACCAGCCACCCTATCGTCGCCTAACAACACCGTCCGCCGTCCTCGCGATCCGCGATCCGTTTCCTGGCTTTTTTTTTTTATTCTTCGATAAACGACGCACCACTGCTCGCAGATTCCCGCACGGATTACGATTATCGCGCTGTTCCCCGCGTAACGCGTAAACCGATGTGTATGCCTTCCGGATGGCACTGGCGAACACTGATACGCAAGATCATGCGGCGCAGCGCGCCACGCGCATTGCGCAGGAGCTGCAACTTCGCGGGCCGACTGGTCGCGCGACGATCGCCGCCCTCTCGCGGTCGTATCCCTAACGAAAACCTCAGGGACTTTATGATTTGTCCCTGAAATCGTTCGTCGCGCGAGAATGAGAAACAAGTTCCCTAGTCACTCGCCATTTATGCGATTGCGCACTCAGTAACCATTTGTCACTAAAGAAAGAGTTCGCTGGATGACCGACGAACCAATCACTGAGGTTAGGTCTGTTTGCGTTGCTTGAAATTCCTAAAAATGTTTGCACGTAAAATGAGATAAATATATATATTCAGAGACGTTGAAAAGAAAGAAAGCGATGATACTGAACGCAAAAAAAGAGCAAGCAACACGAACAGACTTATTGCCTCTAAAAAAAAAATAAGTTTGTTTTTTATTCCGTCATTTGACTGCACTAGAATTTTCTTTCCTGCTTTCACCAAACGTCAAATATATTTCTATTTTACTTTAAGTACAGAAAGTGTGCACTAGTTCAGTTATCAAATATAGATCTATATTTTTATTAAAAAACTCGTATATATAAAAAAATTAATGTATAAAATTAGATTAGATGTAATATAAACTCTCAACACTAGATTCTGTGCCTTTTTATGAAATATCAATGTATTCTTGATAAGTAAATTATGAAGAAAATTGTTAAAATAAATGCAATATATTTTTCCTGAAGTATGATGACGTTTATTCATTAATTCCCTTCCTTTCACATTAAGGAAAAAGCGTGCTATAATAAGTAACGTCCATTTGACAGCAAAGAAATCGTTACATCGATAAGATTATATTTTAATCGTTTTAATTGTGCAAAATAATCAATACATATAATTATATTAAAATGGCAAAAATCAGTGAAGATGTATATTTAGAGCGTATTCCATCAGGAATGTACAAAGAATTAATTCACGAGTTAAATAAGAACTCAAGTTGGCAGATACTCGCCTATCACGTAGCCGAACAATTTGGATACCAATGGTAAAGAATAACAATTCGGATAACTTTGATAAAAATTAATCAACAAGTATATATTCTTAATAAACTTTTATGTATCTGTCATACCTATAGGAACTCGTGGCTAAAGTCATTAGAACAGAATACCAATGCTACAAAAACGCCAGCAGACAATCTATTGTTCGAGCTTAATGTAAAAATGTGTACAATTGGAATATTATGCACATTGCTCAGAGATTGTGAACTTGGTAACGTTTTATCTGTCTTACATTATCCAGGTATATATCTGTCTCTCGATAGTTCAGAATCAGATGATATATTGTAGATAAAATACTCCATAACAATTATCTAACTTTTAAAATTATTATTAGAACCATCCGTAATTGTTAAACATCCCTCTGACGATCTAGAACGTGATACTTTAGAAATATCTCTTGGTCAACACCTTTATCTTTCTTGCAAAGCTACGGGTATACCGTCGCCGAGTTATCAGTGGTATCACAATAATATTGAGCTACAGAGACAGCAAAGTTGTGAACTTGACATTGTTATAAATAGGTAAAAATATTGTCTCAATTTGTAACATGTGACATATTAACTAATTATCTACACAATTTCTTACAGTTGTGATCAAGCTGGAGAATATAATTGCAAAATCTCACAAGTCACGAATGATGGAGAGGTAGTAATATCTATATTGCTAACAAAATCAGTTTTTGTAAATTTATCTCGCGTACCTGTAGTTATACAGCAACAACCATCTGCTTTCTTAGAACTTAAGGAAGGTGAAGATTTTATAATTAAATGTATAGCACAAGGTCATCCAGAACCACATTATCAATGGTTTAGAGATAATATAAAATTAGAAGGAGAAACATCCAATGTATTGCACGTAAGTACACATAATATTAATGCTAAAAGATTGTATAATAGAAAAAGAAAAATGTTTTAGATAAAACAGTTTAGTTTTAAACATGAAGGAAAATATCATTGTTATATAAATAATGACGTGAATGAAGTAATCACTCAAAGAAGTCATATAATGGTAAAAATTACATGCAATTTATTATTTTATGAGAATAAAAATTAAATGAATTTTTGTCTAAACTATTGTGATAATATATATTCGTATTGATATAGTTGGACCTTCCTCGTGAAAAAGCAATAGCGAAAATAGCTTTAATCATTGCAAATGACGATTATGAAAATCACATGTGTCTAGAGACACCTAAAAACGATGCTGCAAAAATTGGTATTCTGTTAAAAGAAATCGATTTTAAAATAATCTGTCTGGTAAACTTGTCGCTTGAACAAATGAAGAATGCTATAAAAAAATTTGGTGATGTTTTAAAAGAAGGAGTTTATGGTGAGTTATTATAAATATACTGCATAGAAATATATACATATATATTGCCTTTACTAAAGTTTATGTCATGTAGGATTATTCTATTATGCTGGACATGGTTTTAAAATGCAAGAGAGTTACATGCTTGCTGTTGATGCGCCAGAATCTTATTTAAGAAGAGATGCAATTTGTGAAAGTGAATTGTTAGCTATATTATTGCAAAATGATCCTGCTCTTTTAGTAACGATATTGGACATGTGTCAAACTGTACCACCAAAGTAAGGAATTCTACAATTATTTACTTTTTTATGTACATGCTTTGGGAATTAAGGTCATATCGATAGTTCAATGTAATCAAACATTCAGATACACTGTATTAAAAACTTTCAGAGAATCCAATCCTGATATTCATAATGAGATACCAAAAGTCAAAGAATATAAGAGTAGGAAAAACCTACGAAACTTAGTACAAGCGTACTCCACGTCTAGTTATCGTCCTAGTTACGAAAGAACAAACAGCAAATACGGATTATATGCCATGCATCTAAGCAAATATATCAGTAAAAATATTCCAGTCACAAAAGTATTTGAAGAAGTAGGAAAATGTAAGACAAACAACGGAATTTATACATATAGTCTGAATATTTCCTAATTGGTAATTGATTAATTTATATTTGCAGCAATAGACAGATTATTAAAAGGAACTGAACGTAATCAAATTCCAATGTTTGCCTTAACTATCACTAAACCTTTTCGTCTCACTGATGCAATTTACAAAAGTAATTATAGAAATTTTATCTTATAATACAGATTAAACATTTTTTTATGTATATTGTGAAATTAAAATGTTTTCTATCGAATTAAATAAAGTACAATAAAAATGTCAATACAAACTGAATAAACGTATGTATACATAAAATTTATTATATCTGAAGATATAAATAATAAAGAAAATGTGAATGTTTTATTTTTTCTATTTATATCTTAGTTTTGATATAATGTTATGCTTATACATTTCTATTCAGTATTGGAATTTTTATTGGATTTGATTTAACATTGTATTATTGCAGGAGATCTATTGCCTACATTAGAACATTTAAATAAATTAATAGCTTTCTCAACTAAATCTATCGAAATAAACTTCAAGCAAGCTAGTATTTCTGCTATGGTTGTTATCTCGTTATTTATGGAACCATATTTAAATGTAATCAAGATTTCAGTGTGTAATTTAGAAGATTTGGAAGTAAATTTTTTTAATTTTGTGGCCACAAAACAAAACAATTTATTCCAAACTGCAGGTTCCAAACAAGAATGTTGGATACATAATCCACAAATGTGTCAGGTAATTTTAAATTTTATGATTATATACGATGTTATATTACAGAATATTTTATTTTATAGGGACCTTTGGTTATATCTGTTTCAAAAAATGGGACACAAATTGGCGCAACATTGCTGCACATTAAAAACTATATTCCATTAATATTAGAACATATTAATAACTAATATTTATATGTACAAACTGAATTCATATATTTTAATTGTGAATAAAATATATGATTTATACTATATATATATGTATATACACATCTGAAACACGATATAATGTAAATAATTATATATCATATTAATATCTTTTTATTAAAAAATATAAAGTAATGTTATATAGATAGGTAGCATTTATTTTCTATAGCAACAAGAAATGATTAAATAGATTAACACAAATTTTATTTCAAACTATTATGCAAATATATTGACAAAACTACTATAAGACATTAATAAGACTATAATGATTTACAAAAGTCGCAATCCATGAACCACCAACATTATTTACATATTTACGGGTAAAAATATAATTACATGTTAACATATTTCTAATTTTAGAATCTGTGAATGTAAAAGCTGATTCTGGCTTCTTTTGCGTGGCCATACCTGGGATGTAATGGATGAGCATTTTAATTTGAATGGAATGGTCCTCATCTGCAAACAAGATATATATATACATACACACACACACACACACACACACAGCTGTATACTATGGAATATTATTGTATTGATTTGATAATTCTGTTACCTGTCTCAGCTGAGATATCAGATATAATATGAAATGCAATATCTTCTTCATTTACTGCAATCAACCATCTTTGCTCAGGTCTGAGGGTCTCGATTTTTGTTCTTAAAACTTCTATCATATCTTCTGCTACAAGACCTTCCAAGGAATCATAGTTTTCATTTGCTAAAGCCTTAGATATTACTGTTACTGCCTAGAAATGCAAAGATATACTTGTTAGTACCCGAACAATATTATAGTATGTATTTAATTAGTCATGAGAAACTTCATACGTATTTGATTCCGTAGACAGCTTCGAATATAGAAAACTCTTTATCTATCTGTGAACTTTTAAGAGTAAAGAAAAAAAGACGTAACGGCATGAAAAAAGATGGTTTGAACGGTTTGACATTAGTCACAAGCATAGGCAAAGAAACGTGTGGTTCAGAATCTGATTCGGTGCAGTAAATTCTAAAAGCTACGACATTTGAGGTCGAGCTAGACAGCAAATTCGTCTTGTTGTACTGTCGTACGATTTTCGTATGCATTTTGTTTCTATACGTGACACATGCGACAATTCGTCGCAGATTACATGATACATTCTTCCTAATCATCGGAATTAACATTATGATACGCATAAAATAATACAAAAATCTATAGACACGAAAATCACGAAGCACTGAAATGTTTTTCTAACCTATTTCTCATAACACTTAAGATCGTATGTGCCCATGATATCAGTAGAAATTTATTCGAAATTCTTTATAATGTATTAATATTAATAACGTTAAACATAAGTATGCACTCTGCAACGTTTTTCACAAAAATTGTTTATTATTCAGTAACTGTTCAATTCAAAGATTTTTGTAATTGGCGCCAGAGAAAGAAAAGCCTGAAAATAGTCTTTAAGGCTCGATTGCACCAACGTTATTTTAATTTTAAGTGAGGCTTAAAACTCTTTCTGTCTCTGTCTCTTCTTGGCTTTAAAACGAGACAGATAGAGTTTTAAGGCCGGTATTCATAGTCAGTTCTTATATTTAAGATCATCTTAAATTCAGCCTTAAGATGTCACGAACTAATCAGAGGGCCGCATTAACATCTTAAGACATTACTTAAGATGGTCTTGAAATAAGAATCAATTATAAATACTGACCTTTTATTTGAAGTCAAAGTGACACTAGCCTAGAATTGGTTTCCACCAAGAATTTAAATCGGAATGTAAGAATCAACCTACAATCGAGTATTCTCCTGTTACAGTCGAGCAACAGGCAGTGCTCGACTGTAATTGGTTGGTTCTTACATTCTGATCCGGATTAAACCTTAGATGGAAACTAGGCTATTGATGCAACTGGACTTAAAAGGAGATCTAAGGATATGATCAACGCGATGTTGCAAACGCTTTGAAGCATTTTTTAATTAGACAGTTTGTAAAATTCTTTCTTCTAATTGGTCCATTAAATGCTTCAAAGTATTTGTAGCGAGACTTTGACCACAGCTCTAGAGATCTTATAATCAGAGTTTGGCGAAAGCGTGCACAACTTCTGGTTGATTTTCCACATGATGAAAGGGATTGATATAAAGTGGTTTTCATTTGATGACACTAATCGACACAAGTCGACACAAGCGTCGTTCTATCTTTAAGGCTATATCCACACAAACTTGCATAATCGCATAAACATGTGCATAAAGAAAATCATCCAATCGTATTTTACGTTTGTCTTTATGATAAAAATGTGATTGGATGATTTTCTTTATGCGGCTATACAAGTTGTGTGGAATGGCCCTAACACGCATTCTACAATAAGCCATTAGTCATAAATCAGAAGTTAGAAGCTGGAAATTAACCAATCACAGTCGTAAATTTTTTAAATTGTGATTTTAGTGTTATCGTCAAAGTTTGATTATCAACAGAGATGATAATTGCAGAGAAAAAATTGTAATTTTTCTAAAATATATAGAATATTACAGTTTTACAAGTATACATTTATTTATGAAACATTTATCTAATAAAAAATTATAATATAATGAAAAATTATAATATTTAAAGTATGAAAAAATTATAAATTTAATAATGTATAAACTAAATATTTATGTTAATAATAGCAAATGTCGATAATGTCAACATTCTTCAAATATCTATGGGCTCTTGGGGCCTTTTTTATACCTCCGAAAATTTGTCCAGGATTGATGGTCTTTTATAGTATCTTATCGGTGGTATAAGTATTGTTGGTACAAATTGTATTTATTTATTTATTTATATTCATATATTGACTTGTTCATTTATCCAGGAAAAAATGTTTTATATATAATCGTATATACATATATTGAAATTACAATATAATTATATACAAAATATGTTCATATGTATACAATTATAGAAAAATATACATATCTTACAATATTTTATAATTTACATATAAAAAAATTCTGAATTTTTAAATTTTACGTAAAATATTTTTAAATTCATATATATATGAAAAATTCTATAAAAAAGTATATAGATATTTTAAATATATATTTCTGAAATGTTTTTCTTATTATAGCTAGCTAGAATAGGAGCATACGACGCTAACAAACGTTGATAATACTAGAGCACTATAAGGGGCTCCGATACACGATGTAGTAAAACCCGGAAAATCCGGCAAATTAAAGTTAATCACTAGATTAACCACGAATCTCTGCCATTTTGGCTCCATATGTGCGGTTTTTCAAAATTTTAGCCTTTTTTACTGCGATTTTTGCAATTTTCAACACAGCAACCGGGCATTTTCGATAATAACAGAATCAGATTCTTCTTCTTCTTTCAAATCCTTATATGGATTTCCGACTTTTTAACAGAATCAGGTTAGGATAGCACTTTGACGCCATTTTGGCTCCAAATGCTAATTTAATGAATTTTCTCATTGCGGTACTTTGTTAATCTAGTGAGAGACTTTAATTTGCCGGATTTTTCATGGGTTTTTTCCTACACCGTATTTCGAATCCACTTTCAGACCTCGAGCTTGATCTCCTTACTACTCCGTGGTTTTATAGGATCATGCATGCTCTGGCGCTGAAATCGGTCTTTATCAGAGCCCTCTGGTAATTGCTTTGACTTTAGTCAAATCTGTTCCGATGAGTACGAGATGGTGCGGAGCAGTGTGGGGGCTACTTTATTAAGAAGATACATAACCAAAATTGCATATTTTAGACAATCTTTTAAAAATAACGCTAGAAAATTGTAACGTTTGCGTTTAAGTGTAAAAATAATTTTGTTATAATTTGAAGAGTAGACATGAGATTGACATCCAGTTTATTAAAACGCATGGGAGAATGGTCAAAGAAATATGCAAATTTACCGGATAGTTACATAGAACGAGCAATGGCACAGGTCTGCACAATTGTCAAATTGTTTTAGTCTGTGTATTGTTAAAGAACATAAACTGTATAACCTTATGAAAATTAAATTACAGTTAAATGTGAATTTTTAATATATTATAATTTTTTTTCATGCTGATTGAAAGTATAAGATTAATAGTTCACTTATGTCTATTTCTGCTAATGTAGATTGACTTTAATTTCGACTTATTCTTCATCTTTTTCTAATTTTTGGATGTAAATTAAACTACAATAGTAGAAACAGGTATTAAAAGTCCAATCCAAGTGAGCTATTAGTAGTTTTATAGGTAGTATAAAAATTTATTTATAACAAATCTAACAAAAAATATATATATTATTATTTTTATAATATTACATATTTTGTGAAAATAATATTAAGATGATGAGTTCTAATTTTCAGATTTTGAATGGCTGAACTTAAAAATTGTTTATTTTTGCAAGTTGTGTTTATTAGAATTAATTGGTACTCAAGTTAATTAAAATTTGATCAAAGTTATTCTACTCTGCTGACCAATTAATTAATTATTAATTTTAACATTTTTATTTGTTAATTTATTAAGGTTTATTGGAAGACACCCAACAAGCCAAATTATTTGCCACGCACGATTGAAAAAAAGCGATTTCGTTTCTCAATACATCGTCCATGGACTTATGCATTTCAACGTGATAATGAACCTCGTAAATTTCCTAAATTCATTCATGTAGAGCCTATTAAGGATTGGAGTTTCTTTCGAGGTGATAGGGTATGTTATATTTTATTGATAGACTTTTCATAAAAAGTGGAAAGGTAAGAAATGACATTAGTAATATTATTTTGATATATCAATATTGTAACATTTGTATAAATTTATATTTTTCTAGGTAGAGATTTTAGTAGGAAAAGATAAAGGAAAGCAAGGGATTGTAAAAGAAATTTATCAAGAAAGAAATTGGGTAATTGTCGAAGGACTTAATACAAAGTTGGAATATCAGAAGATGGATAAAAAATCTGGTATATATATGCAGCAAGAACAACCATTATTAGTAACTTCACAAGTACAATTGGTTGATCCTTCAAATATGTAAATATCTATTATATTATAAAAAATTTCTTTTATGAAGATAAATGTACACTATCAATGATTATATATTATTAATTTACAAATCGTTGCAGGGAAGCAACTCCAATAGAATGGCGATTCACAGAAGATGGTCAGCGTATACGTGTATCCATGAAATCTGGTAGAATAATTCCTATTCCTGTTACATCCCAAGAAACGATAGATTACAAATTTCGTCAGCTTTATCAAGAGCAAACAAAAGATACAACTAAAGCTGATGTGGAAAAAATAACTTTTGAAGTATATAAAATACCTCGAATTTGTTTATTTTTATTTATAGATTTTATATTAATTATACATATATACATAAAATGCATGAAAAGTTTATAACAATATTAAGACAAATTTTACGGAGAAACAAAAAATTAAATGCATGTTTTCTATTTACAGCCAGCATTAAAGACTTTTGAGATGGATATCATGGAAAAAATGGGTATTAAAGAAGATCGTGTTCCAAAGAAATTTTATTGGTATTAATCATTCTTATATACAATTTGCTGTTATTTTCAATGTACAGCTATAGTTATTTAATAAATATATTAAACAGACAAAAGGGAACATAGTTTTCTAATACAACTCAAGAAACCTCACAAATCATTTTGAATGAAAAAATGCGTGAAAATTGCATTTTCCAATATTGCATTTTCCAATTTATCTATTCGTTAATTTAATAATTTTAACTTTTTTTTCTTGGTATTGAGAGATTCTATATCTTTGACAAAAGACATTATAAGGAATCCCTATTTGCAACGTTTTGCATAGGAAATACACAATAAAAAGAGCATTTATAACATTAAATAATAAAAAAAACGAACAATTCAGTGCTTTATATATATATATAACGAATTTACATTGAATTAAAATACGTAATAATATTGATTAGTATTTTAATCAATAGTTGCTTGTTTTATGCTAAATCGTGTCATTCACACATATCACAGCACAAAATTTTAATAAATGCATATTCCGAAATGCTTTCGTATTATATTTAAATATATATTCCGATATATTCCTTTATATTAATATTCCGTTATGTATGACACTTCCTCTTAACTCGACGCATTTATAATTCTGATTGCAATGGAAATTAAGCTAACGATCGATCAGTTCACATTTCGATAACGTTGAAAATTTATGGCCATATGGACGCAAGAAAGCGGAAAGATTTTTTTTCAAAAAAGGATTCTATTTTTCAAAAATTGAAATGTGTAAGAAGCAATGAAATCTCGAACATTCAAGTAAAATAGCACAGATAACAAAACATGTGCAAAATGGGTCGTAAGATTGTCTTAAGCGGCATCTACAATGAGATTAAAAGCTTAAAATTTAAGCTTTAAGCCTTAAGCCATAAGAAATTGATCAGTTGAATGTGAGGAAAATAATTGCTGTTGATTAGTCCATTTCTTACAGCTTAAGGCTTAAAGTTTCAATTTTACGCCTTAAAATCTCATCGTAGATTACACCGCTTTATGCCACTTTATCATAAATAGAAAAAAAATTGTTTATAAACGAATGCGGAGAAAATAATCGATTGACCAATTTTTGCAGCTTATGCCTATTGCAGAGTAGGTATTGGCTGTGTTCAGCAAAGAAAACTGTTTTGCAACTGTTGTAAAGTCCTTTAATATAATTAGTCCTGCCTTTAGTTCATCATTGGCGTTAAATGTATAAATCGTATTAAAGAATTTTACAACAATTGCAAAGCTACTTTTGCTAAATGCAGTCATTATAAAGACATTTTTAAGCCGTTTTATGATATCTTAAAGATGTCTTTATAATGCGATAAGATATGATGTCTAAAAACCGTTTTAATGACATCTTGAAGACGTCTTGCATTCCAATTTTGGACATGGTGCTGTCTAGAGAATGGATTTGCGAAAATAAATTTAAATTAATCGAAGAATCCGTCTTCGCGGCGCACTTCACGTTAGACGCGATGTCGCGATTGCGCGTCGATCGCTGCGGTATTCAGTTCGAAAAAAGTCACCGTCATGGATAAATGCGCGTTTTTACGAGAAGAGCCGTTTTTCCATTGTCGGTTCTCCCGCAGGTTCTCTTCGACTTCCGGGTGCTCTATAGATCGGTGAGTCGTACTTTATCCCGCTACATTCTTAATAAAGATATAACAGGTGTGGGGAGAATGATGATCAGGAAATGAAGTGCGAGGCAACGGGGAGCGCGTCTTTAGCGCGACCGTCCGCCATCTTCCTTTCCCTCTTCTCAGATCCCAAGATCTCGCGTCTGAAATAATTACATTTCGTCCCGTTATATCCTTACTACCTGCGAAACGACTAATCGCGCAAAACGTCGCGCCTCGTGCCAGAGATAATTTTTCGCTGATAATATCTCGACATACGCGTTATCGTGAACGGAACGGCATTCTATTCATGTACGCGCGCGGCGATGCGGTATCTTCGCGTGATTAAGCACATTATATATACCGCTGTTAGCGCATTAGCTTCATCGAGACGATCATAACCGGTATGAATGCTTTTGCAACGGAAGCTACTGAAGAACTGTTCAAGATTCAATTGGGGCGATTGTAGATTTCAGTAGCGATTGGCGCTTTCTTCACGCTGCGAGCAAATTTAAAGTTTATTACTTCTTACAGATAGCCACGAGATGGCGTCAAAATGGCCTTTTTTAAAAAGAATTTTGTAATTTAATAAAAAAAAATTCTCAAATAAGAGCTTAAATGATATTTGACTGTTTAAACGATTAATCTATCATATGTTTAATCAGAAAAGGGAATTTATATTTTATTATTATTTTGCAAATTTACTTATTATAATATACGGATATGGATTATTGAATTAAACGCATTTTTAAATGAATTTAAATAAATTACATAAGTACTAAATTGATTCTATCATTTTTGTAAAGAGTGAACTATAGATAGCAGATGACATCTCTCTCTCTCTCTTTCTTTCTCTCTCTCTCTCTCTAACACCTAATTTATCAATTACTTTAACATAAACCTGTTCCGTGGTTTTATTGTATTATGAGCGACTTTGACTAATTGATTGATATAATCAGAGATTAACTTATCAAGCAATAACTGTACTATCTTGTTAATAACAAGTATAATAAAATTGTTGATTTTTTTGTTATTTAATGCATGAAAAGAAAAATTCGATTAGGGATAACAATTTATATATATTGTTAGAAATGTTGCCATAAGCAATTCCGTCAGTTGAGTTAATCGCCAATTAAATTAATTAACATTTAATCGGAGTCACTCATAGAAAACTGATCTCTCGTGTCATTTTCTCTCTTATTGCTATAACGGCGCATCATTTTGATTACCGTATCGTATGAAAATATTCTATCATTCGTATCCTAATGTAACAGGAACCACTATAATAAGGCGACGGGGTGGCTAAAATTAGAAATAGGCAATCTACAATCAGGCTCATATTATAACTATCTACTCAGCTATTTTGCTTGTTGCAAATTCTTAATTCGAACTATTACTGCACGGCCGGCACTATGGAATTATAACGTACGAGCGATTCGTGTTAACAACGTATCGCTTAATTAAATGATTAATTGACATGTCTACCTACTTCATTTCAGTAACATTACGGTTCGCTTGCGTATGGCATATATTGAAATTTCCATATATATTTCGTTGTCAAAACATACACTACATTAAGATGTTATATCGCTGCTTTTTGATGAAATTTACGAAATAAAAATATTATTCCACATTTAATCATTGCATATTGGATATGATATTGCATTTTGCATTGTCGATTCAGATTGGAAACTTGCAATCTTAAGTCTCTTTTTGCGTGATTGATTTTACTGCGATGAAACTATTAAGATTGACACTGTATTGTACCGTTAATTTGCATATATTCTGCAGAAAATACTATTTTAAAACTATTTTTATGCATAAGATGCATGTTTCATTTACAAGGCGTTTGATTGGAAAAAATAAATTAGCAAATCACATAGATTTGCAATTTTCTCTTAACTTTTTGTTAGCACGTTAGCTATTGAATTCATAATAAATGACAATGCAATTAGAGCTGTGAATGTATATGATAGTTATCGATTAATTTAGACGCTCTTAAAAATAATATCAATAGATCATCTCTTTTTATAAATCGATGAATTTAGATTTTGGATTATCTGACTAAACAGCGACATTATTTAAATTTATCAGCACGATAGAAAAAGCCTCTCGCGCATATAACATCGGTTCGTATCTCTAAAATCTCTTGAAGAAAACAAATAACATACCTTATTAACCATTATACCTACGTAACAAATATTGATCGAAAAATAATCCAGACGCTTGCTTGGCACATTACTACGTTTCATTTGCATCATACAATCGGGATTTCGTATATTTCACGAGGATTTAGTGGCAGGATGCCTGACTAGGAGATTCACTTCACCGTCGTGTAGCTTCTTCATCAAAGACCACGCTTCTATCCTCGACATTCGCGTTACATCGTTACCGTTTACTTCAAGCAGTTGGTCCCCGGCTTTTAAGGCACCCGTTTTCTCGGCAGCACCTCCTGTCGTAAAGATAAAGTTCAGATAACACGTAATATAATTTCTATTATTTCAATATAACAATATCGTTATCATTATAATTAACATTATCCTTTAACATGATATTCGCGAGCGCAAATATATTATATGCAAAGATTTACCGGTGAATATCTTCTTGATAATTAAAGGTCTATCTCCGAGGGGACTATCTCTGCCGCCTTCCAGACTAAATCCGAGACCAGCTCCGTCCTTGTAAACCGCCACGGTCGACGGTGGTCCCCACGCTATGTCTTCCACGTTTCCATTCGTCTCTAACCCTGTACGCGATCCGAGTTCTTTTATTTACATCGATTCCGTTATCATTAAAATAAATCGTGAGAGCAATCGTTCTCACGCAAGAAATGCATGTATTTGTTTACCTTCGACGATGGTTTCGACACTCGCAGTTCGCGACCTCAGCTTACAGCCTTCCTCCATCCTGACCCTCGACACGACCAATACGACCTCCGATCTCGGCTGCTTCAGTACCGCCATGCTCTCTCGGTGTGTGAGACCTCGCGTGCTTCGACCGTTTATGCTGAGGATCCTGTCACCCCTCTGCACCCGGCCGTCTTTATCCGCGATAGAGTGCGTCAGTACTCTATGAACCGTGATCTCCTTCACTTCGCAATCCGCGCCACCAGCCAAAGTGATGCCGACGCTGCCGGTCGGGTTTTCCTTGTGAAGCAAAACGACTATAACATCGTGCGCTCCACGTGCCTCTTCCAAACTCGCCTCCTCGACGAGCTGCGCCAGTTCTTGTTGCGAGATTAGACTGGTACTGCTGGCGAGTGAACTGATACTGCCAAATTGTTCGCCGTAGCATCTATCGGTGTCCATTTCCGTCCCGATATTCTCGTCTACGCTGCTGTCTAGACTTGGAAATCGATTATGAGTGTTGCTGGCGTTCTGTTGCGATTGACTATGCATAGGACTGGTGTCAACCTTCTCCAAAGCTTTCTTCATATCCGTGACACTGGCGCTGCGTCGATTTAAGCCACGAGATGTCGGAATCTTCGACGCTGTCACACTTTTTATTCTTTCGACACTTTCTGTCATCTCGTCGCCGCTGTCGACAGTTTTGGTTCTTCCTAAGGTGGGTATTTTCGAGACAAAGGATCTATCCTCCGACAAGGATTCGTTCGAAGTAATAGAGCCTCTTCTCCCGTATCGATTTTCTTTCGAAATTTCCCAAGCAGATTTTACCGGTGAGCTTGGTATTATGCCATTCTTTTCAATTTTTGGTTCTGTATTTTGCGCACGGGATAATTTCAAATCTGGCTTAGCGCCAAGTATATCTTCTAGGCTCATCTGACTCTTCGATCTACCAAACGTCCCTTCGTCGACGTGTATAGCTGATCTGGAGCGGCTTTTTGTCGTTAAGATCGTCAAAAGATCGTTTTGGTCTTCCATATTTTTTCTCGGAGTTGAATTCGCTTTACTTTGTGGTTTTGACATTTCCATCGCGGTGACCTTCATATCGCTTACCGTAGTTCTATTCTTTGAAGACAAATCGTTGTTGGAGTACGCAGTAATAGCGGGTTGGTTAAATATGGAGCCACGACTATTTCTTGTTTCCAAATTTTGAGCTGCGAGGATTGGGCTTTTGTCGTATCTCGATTTTTCTTCCATTGATCGCGCCAAAGTCTTCACTTCCGCTCGAACCCACATCTTAAGATCGTTTGATGGCTCCAACATTTCAGATTTGGGTGGTCTAACAGCTGGCGGCGGGAAACTCATTTTAGGTGGCAATTTAGGTTTCTCCTCCTTTCTCTGTAATGGTTCTTCGTCCTCCGCGAAGGGATCCGCGACTTCTATATACGCAATCTTGATCTCTTGTTTGCTCGCGGGATCGCTCCCCGAGTTATTGCTCATCTGATGAATAGCACCACCGTTCTGGTGGATGGTTTCTTTTACAGCATCTTCGTCGTCTGAGAACTTTCGCTGGATTAGCGGCGATCCGTTCAAATCCCTACCGCTTCGGCATCTGGCGCTCGCCAGGATATTCTTTCGATTTATCGCCTCCACGCTTTGCGGCTTCAGTACTCTTCGGGATAGAGACTCGGCACTGGCTTGAGACCCGGATGTGAGCGTCGAGGATGTGCTGCAATTCGTATCGGTGCTGTTCGATCGCCTCAATTGTCTCTGAGGAATTTGCGAACTTCTCGAAACGAACTCGTTCGGTTGTGGTGAGCCGCTGCTGCTGGAAGATGATCTCTCGGCTAGATATGTTCGTTCACCGAGAACACCTATCCTGGAGGTGAATTGATCTTTATCGGATGCAGCAATTTGATCTCTGATATCTCGTGCGACTGAAATTCTGCTCAAATTGTCTGCGATCAAAGGCCGACGTTGACAGTTTAATTCCGCGGAGACGTAAGATCTCTCTGATGAAATGGTAGATCTTTCCGACGGTACCGGAGACATCGGCGGACTGAAGCCGCGAGATATGCTGCTCTGAGAGCTGCTTACGGCCGAATCATTGTCGGAATCATCGTAATCTAAGCGAGCTTTCCTTTGCATTATCCTTGGCCTAGTACGTGAGCCATCCGGTGAGCTCGTCGTCGAGGCAAACTCGAAGCTGTAATCGCTTCTTGTAGGGCTGCAAATACTCTCCAGGCTTTTCGGTGGCTCCGAAAATGTGGACATTGCTGTTGATTGAGAACTTTTGATCGGGCTGCTGCCGTTTATCGTGGAATTTGTCGTCACTGAAGTACCATAAACCGTGAGAGACTTTCTTTTGAAAGCCGGGGAGTACTTGGAGTATATCTGAGGCGCCGGCATCTTGAAGGACGTTGTCGCTTTCAATGGCTGGCTCGCTGTGCTGGCGTTGCTGGCTAAGGAACTTTGAGACCCCCACTTGTCTTGAATATTTGCCTTTGGTATCTGAAAAAATTGTATTGTGCGAACAATGTATTATTATGATATATTTTTTTGCATATAAAATGGAGAATTATTCATAAAAATAGATTTTTCAAAGTAATACCCGATAAATTTTTTGAAATATTACAAAATATTGTGTATTATATTATAAAATATAAATTAGATTCGAATTAAACATCTCATGAATTGAATTGCATTATATATGTTTCAAATCTTACCTGATGCAATAATATTGAATCTCGTGATTTGATTTCTGGTAAATCAACGATAGGTTGATCGATTGATACAGTGTCTTTTTCCGGTATAACCAGACCACGTAATTTCGATATTGATCTTCGTCTCTGCTCGATCAACTGATTCAAGCTGTTCCTCCTTACATCTTCGCCGGGTCGTCTGAACGTGGACGCTAAGGAATTCGTTCTTGAAATTTGTGAGTTACTGATGGAATCGGTTGTCAAAGAATCTCGATCTTGCACAAAGGGTGCCGGGCCGGAAAAACTGGTGGCTCGCGTTAATGAAGGTGTGCCCGTTGGCTTGATCGAGTTGCTAGAATTATTACAAGAATTTACAGTTTTACCGATGTTCGAATACACGACATTCTGCAAATTGCTGCTTTCCGCGATATTTGCACAATAATTTTTCGTCGTCGTATTTAAGAAATTCTGCTTGTCGTACAAAGTTGACAGTGGGTTAGATAATGATTTCGGTGGAACAATTGGTAGCGTCTTTGGAGCCCGCGTAGTTTGCGCAGTTGGACTCAACAGAGCAGGTTGAACAGTCTGAGGCAAACTAAGCGTTCTCTGATTATATTTCTTCGCGGAGTCATGCCCAGTCATAGTCTTGGCTGAATCGGTGAGATCGAAAGAACTCTGCGTCCTGTCGGCGAAGAAAGACGGTCGATCTTTCTGTCCGTTGCTCTTGTCGTCGCAGCAAACGTCTTCGGAGGATTTGTACTTGGAGAGGCGTTTGCTGTTGCTCGTGGCTGCTGCCGCTGTTATGGCATTGGGAAATAGGGGCGCATCAAGATTGCTTTGCGATGAAAACATTGCGATTTTATCTCGAACAGATCGCTCAGACTTGTCGTCCTGTCTCCAGAGATCACCGTTCAAGGAAAACTTTCTTTGCGGAGATTCTACCGTAGAAGTAATTCTCGTATGCAACACTTGCTCTATTTTTGGCGGGCCTGCGAATAATATAACGTACTTTTGCAAAAAGTATAAGAGTATAGAAAAAGGTGGTAATATATAAAAATGCGATGTGCTCGAAGCGATTTTAAAGGGAGGAGGAATCGATCTTTCCGAAAGTATTGAATTTAATAATTTTCTAATATATTTTTTTGATACCTCAAGTATGTTGCTTCTCTCTGGAAAAAAAAAAAGACGAGGAATTTCATTCGTCGAAGTTAGATAAGTGATGAGTACCTGTCAATGGAAGAGGCGGTGGGGTATCAATAAGCGCGTCCTTTTCCACGTGGCTTGGCACTTCTTCGAGCGTCGTCACGGCCTTGTGATAATATCCAGCGATCTCCATCTTCTTCTCACTCATAATTAAATTGCTGGTAGTCGTCTGACAAGAATAAAGAGAACTTCCCGCGACGATGGAAGTGTTTTTCTTCGCGATATCTTCTGAAGTGTGATAAGATGATTTTTTTTCTTCGTTAGTAATCTCAGTGGACTTCACATCTTGACGTATATTATCTACATTGGACGACGTAGCCTTGCCCACCTCAGACCGGACGCTCTCCATACTTGCCGAAGCAACTTTGTTTATGTCCTGCCTCACGTTTTCAGTGCCTGAGAACGTTATCTTACTATCGGATAGAATAATGCTTCTCGAACTGACAACGTTGCTGTCGTTCGCGAGCATTTTAACAGTCTCGTTAGTACGAAACGACTCGTTTTCATTACACAATCCTGCATCATTCGCAGTTATCGTCGCTGTCCTTGTCGTAGCGATATATCTGTACGGTGGTTGGTTGTTACTGTTGTTGAATTCTTGGTACGCTGCTGGAAATTCGTCCCCGTCCGGGGGCAGGCGTTGGCCGCCTCCACAGTTCTCCATCTTACCATTTACCGTGTCTGCAACATTTCCGAATTCTTGACATTGATACGAAAGTTTAAGTTTTTCGATAATATAATATAGTAATTAAAATATTTTAATGTTTATTAATAAGCTATACAGAATTGGTAAATATTTAATTTTAAATTATTTTAATTTGTATGAAAAAAAGGTTTGTTAAAGTACAATATAAATGTAATATGATTTTTCTTGCTAAATGTGATGGAACGAAAGATAATATAATAAATGTGATTGCTGTTTTCCATTACGTTTTAACAAGCTATCGTTTGTATGGAATGTCTGTTTTATTTTTTGATAAGCTAACAAATTCAAGGTGAAACAGAATTTAATGGAATTTGAATGGTACTATCTTCGTTTTGCTTAAACAAATATCATAAGTAACGTGGATTCTTGTAAAATATTCGAAAATATTTTATTCTTTAAGCGGGCTTTTTGGTATTATATATATTTATGACAAAAAGTCAATTCATTGAGAATTCTTTTGTACATTTTGTAAATCTTATTTCAGTGTTCTTCTTTAATATAATATGTACTATTATGTTATGCGCTTTAAAAATTCTTTTGGAAAGGAAATGCATTCGTAAAAATATTTGCACCATTAAATAGCGAACCAGCAAACCACTTGAATGATTCATCGCGCATATATCAACACATTATACATCGCAGTCGTATTATCGTTTAAAAAAATGACATCATCTTTTCGATTTTTCATATTTTTCGTCTGACGAATCGCAAACGTGTCATTTTTCATATTTGTCAGAGTTCAATATATTCTACAGTCTCCATCGAATTTCAGAGATTTATTTTCTACTCGTAAAATCTGAGTTTTAAGGAAAAAAAAAACTTGTCTCTCACATTAACCTTATTCTCTTTCTTTGAGTTTACTCCGATTTTATTTCAAATATTTTATTTTACTCTAAATTTTCTGCTTTTAACGTCTTATTTTATTTTGTATAATGTAAGATCTCCGAATTTTTTCCTCGCTCAATTCGACAATACAGATTATTCAGTTTATATAGATTTGTGTTAGTTTATATAAATATTGTCTCAAGGATTTCCACATTTTAAAACAAGCCTACTGATAAATCTTTTGCATGTACTTGTTATCTAGTTTAAGCAGGAATATTTAAATCGAGTAAGTTACTGTACCGTTGACAGCGTAATTTCTCGTAATGAAATACAAAGTTTTATTTTAAACTTTCTTTATCTATCTATGAATGTGCAAATGAGATTCTTAAAATATCCAACTGCTCGTAAATTGCAAATCATTGGTGCATATATTGTCGCATTGCCGAACGCTTACGTATGCCGTCATATACCGCGAAACTATGACTAATTTTAATTCACGGTTAATAAAGCGCACCGCGCTAACTCCTGATTAACATTCCTGGCGTAGTGCACAGCACGACGAGTAACTAATCATCGATCGTATGCACGTGCAACAAATGCAACTTTCGCGCAACTTGATGGTTTTCGATGCATCATCCAGACGATCGCGCCATATTTGTACCGATATCAGAGACACTCCACGTGTTACTGTGTGCGTAAATGCATTCGAGTATACGTGAATCTTGTTCATTCTTATAATCCAACATTTATTTAGTTGGCAAATCAACTACAATATGCGATCTGTATCAATATTTAATTATAAAAATTCGCAGTAAATAATGTAAACGAATGATAATAAGTATATAAATAAATATATTATATAATAAATATATAATATAAAATGGAGAAATATTAGATTCAAGTAAATTAAGAAATTATAATTCTTTGAAATGAAATTGCTTTTTACATTGTCTCGAAACGATAAAGTGATAGAAGAAACATTTAGAAGTGTCAACCGTTGTACCGTATTTCAGTCTTGACAAATATTTAAGATTACGAATTTGTTAAGTTATAATCAACGTATCATTACAACCAATCAGCTAAACTAAATTAACGTAAAGTAAGATCTTATCTGTTATTTTTTAATATTATTTCATATGTACATTGTATACTGTTAGATAATAAGGCTAGAAAAACATAATGAAAGATAGAGGCTCAACGTACGTTCTGTGTTCACTAATGCATTAAGTTGAAAGTAGATAATATACACTACAAGATATACCTGATGAGACGATCAGGGTACAACATTCAGAATTCGCGAGGGCCACTCTTGTTTTACAACCACTTTGCGAGTATTAAGTTGGCAGGCAATTAATTTTAATCATCGAAGAGCACTATACATAACTCAGCTCGCGGTTATGGCAAACTTTCACGTGGAAGAGGCGCGTTCGTTGTGCGTTTTGCGCACGAGTCCGAAATTATTTAGTCGGCACGAAACGAACGATTCTCAGAAGAACGTCAATGTATCGAAACAACGGCAGAATTTCTCGTTCGCGCTGGCAAGAAGGCTGTCGTAAGACTGGACGACATTGCCTGTCGAGGCCAGCTTCCGCGGTTAGCACCGACATCAAGCGCTTTCATGCGCACGAGAGGAGGGATAGTCCCGCGCACACTTTTCAGCGTGCCACCGTTTTTCATTTTGCCGCACAGAATTGTATTCTTTGCAAATATTATACGCACCGTATACGCGAAAAATCAGCGTGTATGTACGTGTCACTTTGTTCTTCACTCCCCCCGATCTCCGAGCCTGTGTTTTTTCCCCTTTAATTTTCTTCTCCGATTCGCGTTGGATTCGCGTTGGATTTGCGTCCAACGCGCGCATCATTTCTTGTTACAATATTTCACGCCCGCAGATATTCGAGATTTGTTTCTAATCCATCGAGACAATAGCGAAATAACTACGGAGGCACGTATGTCGTAAATCAGCTGCATCACGAGACGTAACAGTTTCTCTTGGAATTCGTAGATCTGTGTCTTGTGTACCAGTTTGCGGATGTCGCCCGAACTGTTACGCGAGTCGATTAATCTTACGGAATGTGTCAACGAAACGAAACCGTTCGCTCGCCGAAGAAAAGTCGTAGGACGCAAACCGGACGATCTGTGTTGACCAGGGTATACCGCTATATGCGATATAATCGGCTTTAAGATGAACCAACGATTTTGTCATGCCACTGAGTTACGTCGCTCTTCATAATTCCGTGAACGTTTAAACGATTCATTAACAAAAACCGGAGAATGCGTCAATTTATGGATTGAAATCAGATCGACGTATAAGATAAGCATAGCAGTAAAGTTCATAAATCTAATCGCGAGATGCAAACACATTGGAGAGATTTTACATTTTTCTATTAGCGATGTTACGTATACTTTTTATATTCTACAAGTTGTAGAACAGCTATAACGATTCAACAACTGTAACGATTCTTGATATAGAATATCATACGATAGATCAGGGAACGATATTAAGGATGCAATTTTACTTTATCGTGACTGAGATAATTCTTATTATGCACGCCCATATGCATAATGCTGTACAGGTATGGATATATAATAGTGGTTGTACCGTACGTAAATTGCGGTTGTGAATTACATCATCGTGCATATAGTTTCTGAAAGCGAAGATTACGTCTTGTCGCAATGAGCGGCAAACGGCTTTCTTCGTGGAATACTGTTTTGGAAAAGAAAGGAGGCAGAGACCGCAAAATCAGTGCCGTCGCTAAAAGCCACTTGTCCTTGGCACCGAGATCCGAATTGTCCGCGTTGCGTCAATGTACTGGAAGCGTAGAACCTTGTAACACGATTATTAAATGTTATATTTATCTCCTCTAATAACGGTCTCCCTCTTTTTGTTTCATCAGCCGATGCGATGATCGTGCGACATTCGCGTCGTTAAACGTCTTAAATGATATATTGTCTGATGTGAAGCAATGTATTTAGCAATAAATCCGCGCGTTACAACGGATAAATCATTGATTTTCAAATGCCACGATGTTCTTCGTATTCAGTTCATTGATTTTTCGAAAGAAACATTTTATTCTCTTACTTCGAAATTGACATACAACTGACCAAAAAAATATGATTTTTTTTAGTTGATTTTCTATAAATGAGTTAGATAAAGATTATTTCTATCAATTATCAAACGAGAATTAACTTTTATCTGCCAAATAGCCTTTGCGTCGTTTTTAACGAAATAATACTTTCTATAAGGGTGATACATTTTGAGTTGTCAACTCGTATCGATGTTTGATGAATTATTTCAGATTTGTTACAATTTTGTAGGATATCGAAATTATCACAACTCAACAACAAAAAGGATGGTTTTTTAAGGATTATGAAAATGACAAAAATAACATATTTGAGTTAAGAATATATTCTTTTTGCCAACATTATTTTATTAATCAATAAAATAATATATTTCTGTTAAGTTGAAAAAATAATTTCCCCTTTTTCTGAAAATTTTAATCTTTTTAATTATGTCACTTTTGAAGTAAAGAAGCGATGATAGAAAAATGAATATCACGGATTATGTCATAACATTGTACATTTTATCGAATTTATATATATATATATATCACCTAATTTATCACTTTCAAAAGAGTCTCTTTTCGTGATTTAGACTGGATAAAGCAACTTAATACATTGAACATTAAAAAGTGTATCTCGAGTTGCAGAGATTTAGGAGCGACTTCGTATTCCTCGCTACTTACATTTCGTCACGTAACACTTATCTGATCGTTGTCTTGTAAAGATTATTCGTATTAATAACAGCTCAGCAATTCATGACTATTCTGCGTAACATTCTGGTTTTTGCAATTTGATTTTTTGCACACACGCGCGCGTATTTCTTCGTGCTCAATAAACCGTTGACAAAGTTACACGAGAAGAAATGTTCGATAGCGTTCAGCGTAATAACGACCGTGCAGATATATTTAAATAATCCATGCCGTGTCATTCAAACGATGAACTCGAATAAACGGACAACCCTATGGTTGATTCAAATGTGTTGCAAAATCCAATATTTTACTCGGTAATCTCACATTTCTAGTTCACATATTACGTCACCTTTCTACCTTTCTACCTTTGCCATGATACATTGTGGTATCGTACGCTGAACAGTTAGATCCTTAAATAAGACGCAGATTCGTGCTGACACGGGCATAATGTCCATTTATCACATTTAACTTTTGACACACTCTCGCGCGGAAGTGAGAAGCGTCATATCGCGAGAAATTCATTTAACGCCCCGTACGGATTAATTCTCACATTTTGTAAGAAGGGATGCCGAAATGCCGTTGCTTAACACGCTTAACCTCTTATCGCAAGCACGAGAAGTGTCCTTTTTCCAGAATTAAATCGAGAATCTATATAAGTGAAATCTCCAATTTCGAATGTATAATAACAGTAAAAGATTCAACCAAGTTCAACATCATATTTTCGCCGTCGAGTGTCGGCTACGATCGACGATACGTTTCGTAGGCAGGAATAAAATTTTACATCGCGGAAGTGTCGCGACTCGCAACGACGATTAATTCTATCAACGATATCTACGATAAAATCGGCAATTCTCTCGTACAAATCTCGGACTACCTACTAGCGTGTACTATGTACTATGCAGTACCGAGTATATGCAGACCATAAAATCTCTCGATGGTACGGCGCGGTGTCTGGCTGATGTTCGCGCGTGGATTTCCCGAGTGGATTTGACACGGCGTGAGCAGTCGGCAGCACATTTTTGCCGCGGCTAGACAGCGAATATTCCTCGTTCAGAAATAAGATTCCAGAATGCGGAAACATTGGCATTAAACGCGGCGGCCCGATGTACGTGCTTCGAGAGGCCGATGACGCTTACCAGCTCGCCGACTTCGCTCGTGCCTTCGTGGGAGCGGGCTGTAAAACGAGTAGGAAGCGAATCACTCCGCGAGAATCCTATCCAATTAATTTTTTACGGAAAAATGGAAAAAGACTGATAGCGGCCGTTCGGTGCATATACTCGCGGAACTACCGCGTCCGAGACAAAACTGCGAGGATACATATCTACGAATGCGAGGATAGAAGACGAGGAGAAAGGCATTCGTTATTATTATATCCACAGTCTAGCGAGTCTAACGAATGGCTTTAAGTTTGATTTTAACGTTCGAACAAAATTAGATGATTAAATAAGATTTTACGAGAACGAAGGACTCTTAATTTTGAACCATCACCATGCGTACAATTTTGTCTATATCTTCGACTGATCTCAATCAATAAGTAACATCACCTGTGATCTGAAGAGCGCTCAATATATATTGTATATATACATATGTATATTACATGTTTCGGTCTCACGACTGAGAAAGAAATTCTTCAAATCTGTAATTTACAGCCTAATCGAGTAATCAACAAAGTTATCCGAAAGTTATTAAGATATTTAAATGCTAACTGCTTTTACAAGGATGTGTAAAAATTAAGAGTAGTACATAACGCGCGCGTCGATGGAAGAGAGATCGAAATGCGACAGGAAATTCAGGCATCTTAATCATCTAAATATAACGAAATATTTGAAAACATAAACTCAGACGAAAAGTATGTACAATCTTATACGAATTTAATGAATTACAGAATATTAGATTGTGCATACTTTTTTAATTTTTACACATCCTTGTAAAAGCAGTTAGCATTTAAATATCTTAATAACTTTCGGATAACTTTGTTGATTACTCGATCAGGCTGTAAATTGCAGATTTGAAGAATTTCTTTCTATTTCGATTAAGAATCGTGACTTCGATATTCGGGCGAGCAGTGGCACTGCTTGTTGCTGTTTTACAAGACAACGTGAGATGTTTGTTACTCAGCGTTACTAGTTTCGAGCGAGATCGTGACATGTCAGGAGGATCTCAATGTGAAGTTCGCAACACGATCGAGGGCGAATTCTTGCAGACTTTCACCGAGCCGAAGGACGAGAGATTGGCATAAACTGCAAGGTATTCACGCGATTTAATACTATTGTTACCAATCCGACCGAGTACGTCGTATGTCCGCCTGACATTTTCGTTTCATTTCGCGGAGTTTAACACGACGCTGTAACCCGGACTTATCGTTACCCGACGATGAATACAATCTACGGCCCACTGCACACGATAGTATTGTCGAAATCGTCGAGTCATACCTTAATGTTTTCGCGATAAGATCGCGTTCGGGAAAGTAATATGCTGATCTCAGAGAAGTTTTTGCGGTCTCTACATTGTTCGCCGAGTGCGCGAAAAAATTTGTGCGCTTTTATCATTTAAGCCTGTTTTGAGATATTTAGATCTGTGAAAGAGAAGTATGGAGTACTTCGCGTAGATCTTTAACAATTTCTATTTCTCTACCTTTGTCCGGGTTCTTGCTTTCCTCCCCCGTGTATTCTGCAATCTTGCTCACGCGGTCTGCTTCGTCATCTCGCGCTGCAACAAATGTGCACGTACTTTTATTTATTGTGTACGTGGTGTGTAACCATTACCGTATCAACCTTTAAGCATGGCATGTCTGGCGCGGGAAAGGGTATAACTCTGTTCACCAGCCGTAACTACGAGATCGTACGAGAAATCACTGTCATTTTGTCGAAATAGCGAAAGTAACAATTGCCCGAAGGGGCGACGGGCAAAGAAAAAAAAAAAGAATCAGATTGAAGTGAACAATAATTCGTATATATTCGTAAATCACGCGTGTAACACTTATGTAAAATATATGTTTTCATGTACGCGTTAGCAATTATGCGGTTAGCGAAATCACTCTACGGATGACATTTCAATTAAGAAAAGTTAACGCGGCGTGGCGGTCTCATGGAGGAGTCCTACGAAAGAGACGTATACAAAGAGGTCACTGATAATGAATCGAGGTAATAGTTTGCCGTCGGCACAGCTGCACCGTTGACTCCAGTTGACTCGCGCTTATTAAACACCAGATACACCGAATACATGCATGTGCATCGAAGTACGCGAAGTCTCCATAAAGCCCCGAAATGTTTTCGTACTTAACACACTCGTCGAAAATTTTCCTGGCACGATGTTCTTCATTTGTAAAATAATAATTTCGTATTAATCAATTTTTATCGCGATTAAACGTAGACAGCTTGATCCTAGCTGAAATTCCTTCTGTAAGGATTTCATTCGCGCATGCATATTTCGTGTCCGGGATGATCGCATTTGCGAAAAGCGGCCGATCGAATTGAACGGTTAGGGAATAAAGGACTTGACTTTTTTTACACTGTGTCGACGATGTGCTGCATTCTTGGCTGGTGAACACTCGCGACGGCAAGCGGTTTTAGTCGCACGACTTTAGTTTATTTTACGACTTCTTCTATTATGGTTGATTTTTCTTCTGTTCACGTGAACGCATCGTGATTTTTACCTGTCTTTATCCCGATGAATATCCCAATGAATTTAAAGAATACTATACAACCATTAGTTACTGGTTCATTTAATGGAAAATTTGCGTGAAAAATATTGAAAAATAGAAAATTAGTCGACTGACATCCGTGATATACCTTTTATAGTATTTAATGTGCACTTGGATGTAAATGATTTCAAGTTGGAAAGAGTTGAGAGCGTGCGACTTTTGGAATTATTTTATACGTCACAATATTTTCCGCGACAGTCAATTATTTTCCGAGTTATCAAACAAATTCAGAAATACAGGAAGAATGATAGGAAGGGGAAAGCGAGATAGATACAGAAAGAAAGAGAGAAAGGACCGTGCAAAGTTCAGCGAGCCGAAGAAGGGCGGATGCACGGAAACCAAACGAGCGAGAGAGAGAGAGAGAGAGAGAGAGAGAGGGGCAGAAGGAAGGAAGTAGAAAGAGCGAGAGAGATCGAGAGCTGTAAGGAGCCGAAAGAGAGAAAAGGGAGCGAACGAAAAATAAGAAAAGTGGTTCCCCTCTTCGGTCCAAGAGGTTGGGAGCGGGTGGCCTTGAGCAGGTCATCACCTCCGGCTGCGGTGGTGATGCTGCCTGCGCTGGACCATCTTAACTTCTTCTTCTTCTTCTTCTTCTTCTTCTTCTTCTTAACTCCTTGAACCGCCTTCTCTCCTCTACCATCTTCCATCCCCCATCTCCTCTCCTTGCTAACCTTTCCCTCCTTTCTTCTCCCCACGCTCATCTTTCGCTCCATCCTCGTTCTTTCTCTCTTCCTTACGTCTCATCCGGCTCGCCAGAGTTACTTTGTCACTCCTTCTCTCTCTCTCTCTCTCTCTCTCCTCTCGCCCTTCTCGTTCTCTCTTTCTCGCTTTGGACGCTCTTTACACTTTCCTAAAGGCCTTCGCTCGGCCGCAGAAACAATCCGTTCGCGCTAACTCTACTACTTCAACCGGACCGACGTGGCGAATGCGCTAACGTGGTGGAGAAGTCAAGGGCCAGTCGTACCGAGAAAAGTCCTTAACTTTTTTTTCTTCACTTCGAGAAATGTACGATGCACTGCATACAATTCGATTCAATCTAAACATCCACCATTACGAAAGATCGAGCGTCGAACAATGTGAGACGTAGCGGGAGACGATTCTCCTGTCCGAAATCGCTACCTCGAATTACAACGTTCAAAATCCCATTAAAAATCTATTCTCCTTCAGAAAAAGGTGTCGGCCGTGATATTGCCTGCTTTTATTATCGTATACGCGCCTGACAAGGTCTGGGGTATCTGGGGGGGGGGGTGCAAAAACCGTAAATTATCGGGCGTGTTACCGGAGTCAATTCCGTGTCGTTTCCGCGGCGGGGAAGGATCACGCAAATTGCGTTTGACAAACTGGACCGGCGGTAGTTACCGCCTTCTCGCGAGCGTAATGATCGGCGCGTGGCTACGTGGCGCACGTAAGGAACCGGACGTTGCACGAGCGTCGTTCTGCACCGCGTTGCATCAGCGGGATCGCGCGCAAGCGCCGGGAGAAGAAATGTTTTCAGGCCGATCGGATGTATGTATAAAGTTGTAACGCTCGAGGATGGATTTTACAGAACGGTTAATGTGCGCTCTGTACACGGCCGTGCGTCTAGCTGGCGATCGAGAAGCGCCCTGAGTCGTGTTATTTTCTTCGTAGGCGCAACATTCCGACACTCGCTTCTCACGCTCGTCGAAAGTGCAGTCGGCACGCCGCCCGAGCCGAGCTCCACACAAATTGCCGGGCGTGACGCGAGGATTTCGTGTCGTTTCCGAGGGAAAGGATCACGCAAATTGGATTCGACACAGTAGATCGGTGGTGGACCCACTCCTGCCAGGACGTAATGATTGGCGCGTGGCAATCCAGCGTATCACGCTCATGAACGCGAATGCAGCGGATTACGCGCAGAGAGAGAGAGAGAGAGAGAGAGAGAGAGAGAGAGAGAGAGAGAGAGAGAATCATAAATGAACGTTTCACTCATAACCTAATTGAATTCTCTTGCTTACTACTGCAGTGAATAATTAACTCGGTCGTCCATTTCATATACAATAACATTCTGTTAAAAAATAGGCTCCGTCTTCTATGTTCTTCACTTTTTATGTAGAAACGATAAATCTCTCATAATTACAATTGTAACCGGTATGTGTGTGTGTGTGGACAGAGAACTTTAATTCTATTAGAAATAATATAGAAATAAGTAAAAAAGTGTCAATATCTATGTTGTAGTAAATCACATATAAAAGAAGACACGATACCTGCCGTTCACACCGACGTTTCGGTGTTGTCGCGCCGAACAACGGACACGAGGGACCGGATCGTCGAAGTTGGTGTGCGGACTTAAGTGAATGAGGAAGATAAACATAATAATTACGGCAAATTGAGGCCTGCCACTGAGAACAGTATTGTGGCGAGTAGAGAGGAGGTGAGAGAAAGAAACAAACGGTACGCGCGGTCCATGGTCGCGACGTATATCGGTGGAATAAACGCGTTTAATGTACTTGGCTAAGCGGTAGCGTGGGTGAGCGCAGGAGAGTTTATCGGGAAACGCATTTAGACCTACAGTCATCCGTGGATTATGCATACGAGCTCCAGGAATATTGTCAATTCGTTAACGTCGTCGATGATAATTTTTTTCTCGGAACATTCTTCGCAATAAAAACGCGTCGTTTTTTTTTTCCCAGGAATTTAGTAATTAATTCTCAAGAATTGTCTCTTTTTTTTCCTACGTCCTCTTTATCGTGACGTTTTTACTTTGAAATTTGAAATGGCGAGTAGCCGAACGAAATCGCTTGTGACGCGGCACGACCGGAAGTGCGGTATTTGCCGCGTGGGTCGGTATTCTCAGGCGATACTATAAATTGTTCGAATCTCGCGAGCAGTAATAGGGGTATCCATTCTCGTGCTCGTAATGTATTGGCAAGGTATTGGAAGATACGTTGCACATATTATAGTAAAAGAACACTTACTTTAGCAATTCTTCTCGGAGCTTTTAATTTCTTCGCGAACGAAACTGTGCTCTCATCGTCAAGTTTCATATTAAGATTTTTCATAGGTTTGAATAATTTCTCACGCAATTGGAGAAGCTTAATACTTAACTGGCTAACTAGTGGATGTGTACTTCTTATCGAAGTCCTAAGTAATATTTTTATTTAAAAATTTACATTGAGAAAAATTAAAAATTAAATTGTTGAAAATGGATAAATCAGAGAAGATTCTGATCATATCGATAAAAATTCTGGTTATCATAATTGTACGTCTAGTTATCTTGACTAGAATTTTGACGATCACAAATCTTTTGGTCCGTCCTCTGATTTTCGATCAGAAATTTTTTTCAGCACACAAACAGAATTCTCTTATTTTTATCCTAATAATTTTAGATTTTAAATATTCTTCTAATATTAGATATCCTTTGTCGCGGTGTTAATTTTTTGAAAAAGAGTTCCGCTAACTGAATATTTACTATGTATTTGTTTTGGGGGATATCACACACACACACACACACACACACACACAGAGAGAGAGAGCGATAAAATTATTTCCGAATCGCAATACCAATTTATATCGTGTCTCACTTTATTTTCGAGGCGTTACAACGAATCGAAAGGTGCATCGATTTCGATTAAGTAACGACCTCGACCTAGTGAATTACGTGTTGCATTCGGGAATTTAGCCCCGCGGCTGCGACGCAAGCCTCTCGCATACCTACGCCTGCACGGAGCGCAATGAAGTTTGCTTTCGGTGATCGGCGTCCACCAGGGCCGGTTTTGGATGCCGCGATGCCGCGGGCGCTGCTCGCCCTTTTTAGACCCTAAAGTTGATCCGAAATAAAAATAACCGCGACGAAATCGTCGAGATAGAAACGAACGGATTTTATCGCCTGCCCGTGACGTCCTATTTTTAGCAGCGTGACATTTCGAAAGAGGAACAACGTGGCGTGGTGTCAACGTACGAAGTACGCATTTTCCAAATTGCCTTCACACCGTGCCTCTTTTACTCTCTCACGCCGCGTGTTTATTTTAGCTAAGTACAGAAACCGCGA